AACGCCGCAATGAACATAGGGGTGCATATATTTTTTTGGATTAATGTCTTGGGATTTTTTGGATAAATACCTAAGAGTGGGATTGCTGGGTCATAGAGCTCGCACTCTTGAGTGAGCTCTTAACCAACTGAGCCACTCTGCTGGCCCTGACTTTTTTCTTCTTAAATTCTCACCACTAATATCTACACGACCATCGTCCCACTATTTATTTTTTTCTTTCTTATTTTTGCTGGTTTTTCCTCTTTCTGACTCTTAAAAATATTCCTGTGTCCAAAGTTGGATTTTTTTCCGAGACACTTTCGTGGGTGTGATGAGTCATTTCCATTGCTTGAATTATCATATACCTAACAATAAAAATATTAATCTGTGGGGGAGGGGGATTATCAATTTGTGAGGGGTGTAAATGTCTAACTATTACATTGTCTTGGACACCTGAAAAAAAAATAATAATCTGTATCTTCATACCCGACCTTCCTCTAGGTGTTATTCCTACAATTGGAACTGCATATGGCACCAGACTTACCTCAAATTCAACATGTCCCAAACTATATTTATCATCTTCCCTGGCATACATGTTCTTCCTAATATTTGAGATCTTGTGGAAAACCTCATACTTCCTTTTGCCCAACCCTAAACCCCTGGAAGTTGAAGTTACCCTAGAACTCATTTAGTTATCCATTCATGTACCCATCAAATATTTAACAAGTTCCCACTATGTGTCAAACACTGTTTTGGTTGGGGGATACCACGATGAACACAACAAAATCATAGAGTTCAGTCTAGTGGATGAAAACAGACAGACAAATATGAGAAATGGTAGTAAATGCTATGGAGATAAACTTTTTGGTAACTGGCATCTGAAAAAGGGCTACCCTCACACTTATTTGATATTTTGGTCAGTGAGAGAGTTCTAAGTTGGAAAAAATTTCCTTTCTGAATTTTAAAGGCATTGCTCTGTATTACACATTACAGAATCTATAATCTGCTAGCTTCCATTGTTAAGGATGAGAGGATTTATACCACTGTGACCCTTGAAACTTTATTGAAAACCTGATTTTTTTGCCCTCAGAAAACTTAAGGTTCCTCTTTGTCCCCCAAGTGTTCTAAAATGTCACGAGGATGCAAATTAACGTGGACCATTTTCCTGTGCTCACTCTGAGGGTCTGTTTTTTTTTTTTTTAAAGATTTTACTGGAGAATTGGGGGAAGGGAACAGCGCTGGGGAATCGGGAAAGGGGAACAGACAAGTTGCTGTCCTTTTGTTCTTCAGTCTAGTTGTGGAGGATGTCGCTTCACTGGCCCATGTTGGTATTATCACTGCACTCTTCCCGGGTGAGGCAGATCGGTCGCCGGCCACTGGACGGCTGCTCATGACAGCCCAGCTCCAGGTTGAGCTGTTGTTCACCATCTTAGCTATAGAGGGCGCAGCATCACTGGCCCTCATGTGGGATCCGAACCAGGGTCCTGCTGCTCAGAGCTGGCATCCCAAGCCAGCTCTTAAAGCGCCACTTGGCTGGCCCTGAGGACCCTTTTAATCAAGGAAACTCAGGTCCTCTAGTATTGATAAAATATCTTAAATTCTTACTCTGAAATTTTCTCTCATTTCTCCCATTCCTTCTTTCTCAAACTACAAAGTTTCAGATGTAAGACCCACAGGACTGACTTTCTGATATTTTCAGTCCTTTTTCGTCTCTTTTTCTTTCTGCTCTACATTCTGGGGGCATTCATAACTTTGATGTCCCATTACTTCTGAGTTAATTTATTTGTGCCATCATATTTTGAATTTCTAAGAGCTTTTTAGCAACTTGTTTTTAATTGAAGGATGCAATATGTTCTCTTTCCTGAGAATATTAGTAAGTTGTTTTTTTTTTGAAGTTTTTTTCTCCTTGCATGGTCTATTTCCTCTAAGTTCCTTTTTCTCTTTTTTTGTTGCTTTGGTTTTTGTACTTGGGACACTATCTTTCACAGGGGCTTTCTTCTAATGACAGGTGATCCTTGATTATCTGTTCTTATTTAAGGGGGAAGCACTGAGGAGCTGACTGGAAGCTGTGTGCTGGTGGCCTGGTCCATTGTTGGCTTCACTGTCTGGTGATCTGGCTATGTTGTTTCACCCGAGTACCCACAACTGTAAATATTTTTCATTTTTTCTACTGGACTGGTCATATTCCCCAGAAAAAAATTTTCCAGTCTTCTGCCCAGAGGCCTGGCTGCCAGCATTTAGAAGCCAAGCATGGGAAGTGGGCTAAGGAGTCTCACTATTCAATGTATGGATTTTTACTTCATCTGTTTTCAGTCCCCTCCCACCATCCCATTCCCAATTTGGAATCCCTCCAATTCATGTGCTCCTGAGAATAACCTTCTGGAAGAGGGACAACTGCCAGTCTGCTGTGGGAGGAAATACAGCTGTTTCTTAAACAGATTTTCCACTAATCTTCCTAATTTCTACCTCAACTTCAGAAGTACATGTTGCTGCCAATTTGCGTCTTTCTCAGATTCTTTAGGGGAAATCGAGTAGTTTCTCTGCTTGCTCTTATGTCAGGTTTTGGTTTTCTAAGTTTTTCATGCTTTTTGGTTTCTAAAATTTTGTTGTTTCTTCTGATAACTGTCCTTGTGGATTTAGACATAAAATTTTTCTTAGTAATTTTAGTAGGGTTTTGAGGGAGGAGAGATAAAATTATATTTTCCACATATTTTTGTTAATTGATTTTGAGTAATTTCCTTAATCCCTCTCAACCTCAGTACCTCATCCAAAAATCAGAATAAGGGACGGCTGAGTGGTGCGTTGGTTAAGAGCTGGCTTGGGACGCCAGCTCTGAGCCGCAGGGCCCCGGTTCGGATCCCACATGAGGGCAAGCCACCGTGAGCAGCTGTCCAGAGGCTGATGACTGATCTACCTCACCTGGGAAAAGCGCAACGATAATACCAACTCGGGCCAGTGAAGCGACGTCCTCCACAACTAGACTGAAAAACAAATGGACAGCAACTTATCTGTTCTCCTCCCCCAATACCCCAATAAAATCTTAAAAAAACAAAAAGCAAAAAAAAGAAACCCAAAAAATCAGAATAAAACTGTCTACTTTATGACTCTAAAAAATGAGATAATAGCAATGAATAGTACTATAAAGTACTACGAAAGTACAGAATTATTTAATCCTGATATAGGCTTCCAAAAAGGGATGCATTAACTCCTTTATTGAATATTAGTCCCATTATTTTTAGAAATATTTATTTAAAAAACCCATACTTTTCTTACATATTAGTATAATTAAAAAAAAATTAAATATGTCTTACCAAAAGGGTGTACAGGTAATCGACTCTAAAGAAATGTGATGCATAAACAATCTTCTATCTTTTATTGTGCCTAGGAAAATATTTTTTACATTATGCATTAATGAAAATAAATTTTACATTATTTATTAATGAAAGTCTAATAGGAGATTTTAATTCCTATGTCTATTTATTACACATTATTGTAAATAGCTACACAAAAACATTTGAGACAATTATACGAGGTCTGACAGGTTCGCCAACTTGTTACAATAATATTGCTAACCTTTTTTGCTATCAGGGATTGTTCATTATGAATTTTACCAACTGAACAAACAGTTGACCAAGTTTACTATTTGGAAATGCTGAAAAAGCTGTGTGAAAAAGTTAGACGACCTGAACTTTTTGCCAACAATTCATGGCTCTTGCATCGCGACAATGCACCAGCTCACACGACACCATCTGTGAGGGAGTTTTCAGCCAGTAAACAAATAACTGTATTGGAATACCCTCCCTACTCACTTGATCTAGCCCCCAGTGACTTCTTTCTTTACCCAAAGATAAAAGAAATATTGAAAGGAAGACATTTTGATGACATTCAGGACATCAAGGGTAATACAATGACAGCTCTGATGGCCATTCCAGAAAACGATTTCCAAAATTGCTTTGAAGGGTGGACTAGGCACAGGCGTTGGTGCATGCATAGCTTCCCAAGGGGAGTATTTCAAAGGTGACCGTAGTGATATTAAGCAATGAGGTATGTAGCCTAGGATGAGTTCACGAACTTAATTGTCAGACCTCATATGTCAAATGTGGCTAAAAGATGGAGTCAGGTGATGACACAGACATGCCTACTGGATTTACCAACACCGAGATCACGTGTGATCTAGGAAAGCATAACTTTGGTAGAATGGTGAGGGCCAAAGCTTGATTTGATTCCTGAACCTAAGCTTTTAATTATTATACTAAGTTCTTACTAAATTCTTAAAGCTTTTTCTTAATTATTTCACATTTCCTAAGGCTGGACAACCTTCACATCAAACTAGGTATTAAGAAAAGTGCACATAACAAGGCAAGATATAAGTTTAACAAACCACACTGTAAAGTCTTTTCCAATTATCTATATACCTAAAAGAGATAAGAAAAAATAACTTTAACAATATTATGGATAGTACCTATAGAAGGGGAAAAATATGGATAAAAAACAAATTTTACCGTCTAGAGTGCTTTTTGAAGCCTTTAAGGATTTTTCTTGATTTTCTGCTATCCTGTCAAATTCATTTATCAAGTTTCTTTTGATTGGGGGCTCTCCTAAAAAGAAATTTCCATACATATTTTTAAAGCAAATAACATCAATTTTATTTTTCAAAAGCCTATAATCCATTTTTTAAAACTAAAGTATTGACTTTTATAATATGTTAAGCAAAAAATACATATTATAATTTAAATAGCGACCATTCTATTCTGAAGGAGAGAATTCATTTTTCAGTATCAGTTTAATTTCTATTATTTCTTGCCCACTTAAAATACCTACTTAATTGGGTCTAGGGATAAACAGATGTTACCAGATACCACACATAAGCTAGCACTGAATGTAATTCTAGGTTTACTGGCAATAAGGACAAAATTTCTTCAGATAAACTTTTTCTGTATTAAACTCAAGGAATTTATTATATAGGTCCTTGAATTAGAGCGAGTAGGAGAAAAGATTTTTTTAAATTACCAAAATTAAAATATTAGGAAAAGTAATGCTTTTTTATTAGTTCCAGGTGTAAAACAATATAATAATTAGATATTTACACCCCTCACCAAGTGATAACCCCAAGTTTACTATCCCTGACAGTGCATATAGCTGTTACAATACCATTGACTATATTCCCTATGCTGTACTTTACATCCCGTGATCATACACATACACACACACACACACACATTTATAGTTGACATTCAATATTATTCTACTTCAGCTTGAGGTGTACAGAGCATGGTAAGGCATCTATACAGTCTATGAAGTGATCCCTCTGATAAGCCCAGTGCCCATCTGGCACCCTACATAATCTATACAACATTATTGATTATATTCCCCATACTGTATTTTATATCCTGAAAAGTACCATATTTTGCCGTGTATATTGTGCACCCACGTTTTCGACCCAAACTTTCAGGGAAAAAAATCTTTCGTTTTAATTCAAATTTTTATTTGTTTATATTTAGGTACTTGTTTTTTTGGTATTATAAAGGAATTTTAGCATTTATTTTAAACATATTATGTTACAAGAAATTTTATGTAACAAATAATTACAAAACACAAGAACAGATACAAGACAAGAAATTTTACGTACTGGTAACAAATTTACAATATTTATGTATCATAGAAAGCCAAGAACTCTTCATCATTGCAAGTTTATGGTAAGTTTAACAAAGCCAATTATTGTATTCCAGGGTATTATTTGGCATTCAGATACTGTTATTGATTTCTACAGTTACACTTTAAACTCATAAGCACAAATAAATTAAAAACACTTATATAGATGTGGAATTACTACTATACCCATGTATAATGCACATCCTTATTTTTCCCTCACAAAATTAGGCAAAAATGTGCGCATTATTCATGGCAAAATATGATAATGCTTTTTATTTGAAAATTCTACAAAGGCTGAGAGTAAAATTAAACAGTAATGCTAATTGTGCATTTCTGTGTCATACTGATAACATGTGATAACAGGTACTTTACTTTTTGATGGTTTATTAAAGGAAATGAATTTGTAGGATTTAATAAGTAAAAATGTCCATGCAAGGCTTTTATCAAGTATTAGATTATAATGTGACTTAATTGTTTAACAATGTTACTAGTTAAGTAACCAGAAGCTGATTAAGCTCTATATTTATATACAGAGGGTGCCAAAAAAATGTATACACATTTTAAGAAAGGGAAACTGTATTAAAATTGTAATACTCAACATATACCAATAACAAAAGATAAATACAAGTCATGTTTGACTTCTGCAGTTACAAGAGGTGCTCAAAGTGCTTACCATCAGTGCCCAGACTCTTCTGATTATGGAGAATTACAGCTTGAGCAACCAACGTGTCCAAAAGTTGACCAAAGTGTCCACCTATATACATTTTTTTGGCACCCCTGGTATATAACAGAAGTCAGGGAAATTAAACAGTGATGCTGTTGAGAACATTTATTATAAGTTGTTTTTGTCTAAGCAGGCTACCCACTTCAGTATACACATGAACAAAATGGAGTTCTATAAATAAAGCCATTATTTTCCATAAAAAGAACATGAATATCTATAAGCATCTCCACTTCAGAATTCTGCACTGGAGAACAGCACTAGTTTAAGGCAAGTATTATAAACTTACCACTTTGCCGTAACATAAACTTGGTACAGAATGTGACCTAGATAACACTTTATTAAGCAAACCTGTATCCACCAGGATAACTCGGGAGAAAGACACCAAGTGGAAGAATGAACTGAGGACTTCTGTGTCTTTCTCTGTATTGTGAAGGAGCTGGACAAGAAGGCTTGTAATAGCTCAATTATTCTATAAGGCTATAGTTTTTTAAAATGAGCTAGTTATTTAAGACCATCTACTTTAAAGCTGGAGCGTTAGTTCTGCCATTTACTTTAATTGTAACTAATCAACAGATTCAATTATTTAATATTACTCCTACTCAGAGATACTAAATGAAAAAAAATTACACATCCAGCTAACCTAGTAGTTGAACTAAGTTGTTAGATACACATTTAAAAGAGATGTTAGAAGGGAGTCCAAATCGCATTAAGACCACAATACTATTTGCGGAGGATAACTGATTTCAGAACACTTCCTAGATGAACAAAAAGGAAGCAAGCCAACACCCATACCTAGAAACCAACGTTTTAAGTTAACAAGAGGCACAGTCTGAACCTCTCTTATCTATCCATCCATCCATCTGAAAACAGTAAGTTATTTTATGCAGGCTATTATGATATGAACATAAGTTTCAACTTTTCTAGAGAAATTTAAACTTTTAATAGTAATTTCTCAGTTATAGCTATATTAATAATCTCTAAAAATACATTGAGAACCTCAAAACACAGCTTCTTGAACAAAGACTCAGATATCAAGAGTGAGGTCACATTCTCCCAAACTAAACATCAAACTCTGGAAAAACATACAGTGTATAATATCATCATTGCTGTAAGCTAGCATGCCAGAATTACTGAGGGCTTAATTTTAAACGTGATTGGCAAATCAAAATGAAAAAATGGACACTTACCAACCGAGACAAGTGCTTCTCCTCTTCTTTTTCCAGCTCTTGAATTTAACAAAACTGTTTTCTCATTGTTTTGGCACCTAAGAAGAGAGTGTTCAGGATGACTTAGCAGTTCAGAATCCGTCAGCTCAGCATCTTCCATAAAAGCTTTGGCAATCTCTACTGCTTCTTTTTCAAAATAGTTCTCTGGGTCTTTGGAATAAGTAGGACAAATTTCTATATTTGTTTTCATGGGAAGAATAGGAAATGTTTCAGATTCCCTAATTTCCATTTTTATGTTTTTAGGTAAAGCTTGTTCTTTCTCCAAAAGATGACTGTTCTCAACTAGCGGTGCTTTGCTTCCTAATACCAACTGCTGTTGGTCTTGCTTAAACCGAGGGAGACATGGAGAAACTTCAACAGAGTGAGTATTATCTGAAGAACCAATTTCACTGTTACAGCGATTTGATAATTTAAGTACTTTATTGTAGGCTTTTTCCATGTGGGAGTTTACAGAGTGTTCTGGGGCTCTCTTATTAATACAGGAGAGAGGACGTATTTTTGACACACCTTGTCTGGATGTAGGTGAACATTGAGGACCACATTCACTTTTGATGAAATCAAATTCCTCTAACATCCCCTTAACTCTGTTTAAGGCCCTTTCTGAAACTGAAACCTGTTTTCCACTTGCTGTACTAAATCCAGAGAAAGCAGATGATAGTGCATTTTGGGGTGTAGGTGTCTTAGTAGTTTCTTCTCTTGTGACCGAGTGTTGTTCAAAGGATACTTCGGAAAACGGCAGCTGGGCACTCTCTTCTAGCTTAGAAAATACCTGTCTGGCCTTTTGTAATGCAGCATCTGACACTTGTACAGACTTCCCATTCGCCGTGCTACAAATTCCACAAGCATTCGTAGAAGAGACCAACTTGGAAAGTTTCTCTGTATGAAATTTACATCTATTGGAAGTTTCCAAGTTAACCTGACAAGATGATACTTTAGTAACCTTCCCTGATCCAGACATGCTTTGGCTGTGTTGTACAATTTGCTCACTTTGATTGTCAGCAAAAACTTTGTATGAACACATACTATGTTCTTCGCTATCCAGGGAATTAGGAAAAATACCTTTTGATGCATCATCCACTGCCTTCCGGGACCCTGCCACAGTTTTTGTTTGGCCAGTGCCTGATTTACTCTCAGTGTTCTGCTTAACAACCTGAGTGCAGTTGTCTGTAAACCTCTGTCTCCCTTTTGTTCCGTGTGACACACTGACCATTTGACTATGTGCTGTGTTGAACTCAGGTGCCCCTGCTTCAAAATTATTGGAATCAGACACTGTCACTTCCACGGCTGCATTTTCATTTTCACACGGGGAAGAGTTAGTCACAAATTTCTGAACACAAATATCTTCATTTACAGTTTGTGGGTATGTGTTTGTTTCTCTTATAGTGAATGTTACTTCAGAAAAACTAGTGTTTTTTCTGTCTTTGACATTCTTCATTACTGGCTCAATTATAGAATTATCAATTTTATTTTTTAAGAGAGATTCTGATGTATTACATACCTCATTGGAATGACAAAAATCAGAATGGTACCAATAACTGTTAGACATGGTACTGTTCCTTAAATAACTTGAATCTTGTTTTTCACAGATATTTTTATCATTGTCAGTTATGACAGTGTTTGAGTGATTTCCACATGAAGGATTTTCTACATAATCCTCAGGATATTCTTTTAAACATATAACCTTGGCAGCATTTATTTTTTCTGGTTGACCATCCAATTCTCCTTCTCTAAGCCATTTTTTCGCTTCAAGTAGTGAAGCCTGACTCACAGAAATTTTTCTACCATGTCCTGTGTAAAATGCTAATGCTGAATTTTCAACTGAACAAGTGAACTGATTTGTGTAACAAGTTGTAGGACATTTTACTGTTTCTTTTTCTATGGTTTCATGTACTTTAATTTTCAGAGAGATACTATTTGACATTTTGAGATTTTCAGTTTGTCTGTATAAGTTATCACGTGATAGCCTGGGTAGCATGGCAGTCTTGTTATAAACAAGTTTTTTCTCCTCTAGAGAATTCTGCATTTCTTCATACTTTGGGTCAGTTGTTATTTCAACTGTCTCACATGCTAATTCAAGCCCTTCTTTACAGTCTTCTCTGTTCTTCAGCATCTTTGCCCCTCGATGGCTAAAATCAGTGGCTTTACTATTATTATATTGCTTTTTTTCATCAAAAATATTTTTCACTTTGTCCAAAGATTCCTTCGCAATTTTTACCTTTTTCCCACTAGCTGTAAGAAAACCCAACATGGTAGGTTCTTTTATCTTTTTGATTTCACATTCTGGTCCTGGTTGGAGAGCCAGTAATTGATTTTCAATACCAACTGGGTCACCTTCTTTCAATGTTTTTTCTTTAACCATATCTGTTTTCTCATGACTTGAAATGTCTACTTTGTTGACATTTATTCCAGAAAGAAATTCAGAGTTCAAGGCATCTGAAAAGTTACTCAATTCTTCTGCACATTTTTGATCAAAGAAATTTACAACTTTATTTAATGAATCTTTGGAAATGCTGATATTTTTCCCACTTGCAGTCTGAAAGGATATATCAAAAAAGTCAAAATCTTTTATGTTTTGCCCCATCTTTTTAGTTAACTGTTGTTTATTTGACATATTAACATGAAATGTTTCTTCAGCTTTCACAGCTTCCAAACATGTTAAATCCGACACACTTTCTTTGACTTCAGTGTTTCCCTCCTTCATAAACTGGCTAGATGATTTTAGATTTATGTTGTGCTGATCAACACATGGCCAGGCATTTTCAACGTTAGGGATATAAACTGTATTGTTTTTACTTGAATCAATGCCATTAGAGTCTCCTAAGTTACAAATATTTCTACTGGCACCAGCGTATTTGTCATTTTCATTTTCTGTGTTTTTCTTGCGATCTGCAGCATTTTCATTAACAAACGTGTCAGTAGTCTTTTCAATATTATTTTGTTGTATTAGTTGGCACTTATTATTGTTTTCATTTAAATTTGTATCGTTATAATTTTCTAGGTTAAACAACAAAACAACAGAATCGTTACATTTATTTGAAGAGAAACTTCTTGGATCTATTGCAGAAGTTTCTTCACTAATATTCTCAATGTCACTGAACAGTTTCATAGCTTTTTGCAGTGCTTCACTAGAAACATTCAGTTTTGTGCCACGAGCAGAATAAAATCCTCTAAACTTCATTTCATTTTTATCTGCTAAATATCCAGAAGCACTTTTGTTACAGTTGGTTTTCAATGAGCAAGCAAACTTTTGCTTACCTTCAAATTTACTGCTGCTATGTACCTGACTGATAGTTGGGGCATTAATTCTGAGATGAAGATCAATGTCTTTCCATTCTTCAGAAGTGGTATTCATGACAGGCATCTGGTTTTCAGGCATTTCAAATGTATTATTCTGTATCACATGGCTCGGTTTTTGAAACTGTGTAAATTCAAACTGACTTCCTGATTCTTCCAATATAGTAGAAAGTTCTGTAATTTCTGCCTTTTGACTCGGTGTTAAATTGTGGTTTGAACTAAAATCTTGCTTTAAAGATAAAGTTGGAGGAGTTGTGTGACTATTTTCACTATTAGAAGCAAATGCACTACTCGGTATACACCCAGATACAGTATTAGTTGACTGTGAATTAAGTGCATGAGGTTTACTTAGTTGCTTCTGATTTTCTAACGATGAGGTATTTATAATTTCAACACAAGCTAAATCAGTATAAAAATGTTCTTCAATATCTTTGAAGAACACTTTACCTTTTTTAATGTTGTGTTCAGAGAGTTTTATCTCTTTATTAGAAGCTGTTCTGAAGCCATTTCCAAAATTGTGATTTGAAATGGGATCTGAGAGTCCTGCCCATTTGTCCATATAATCATTATTTCTATTTGATTTCTTATCTATATCCAAGGAAATGTCTGATTTTGAATCTTTGCTTAGAGTAGTTTTTAGTTGTTGTGTTATATCATTTCTGTTTTTCTCTGTAAGATCATGGACTATAGTTGAATCAAAATCTTCTGTAACAGACACTCTGACTGTTTGTTTGTCATCTATACCTGTACCTACTACAATGGTAGAGTTCTGGAAAATAGGTCTTCTTACACAACTGAGGTCAGCCTTGTGAAGTTCCTTAGTATTTTCTAAAACAGGAATATTCATTTCAGTAGTTGATTCAAAGACAAAATCATTCTCACTGTCTTGGAAAAGTTCTTCAGAGTTTGAATTGACAGTTATTTTTGGAACTGAAGTTGTCTCTTCTTGATCCTTTTGGATTACTGTGAGATTTGTATTTTGGATGAATTGTACCTTCATAGAAGATGATGCTACTGTTATGTATTTTTCAGGTGACAATAGCTCAGCTTTTTTAGAATTTTCATTTAAAACACATATTTCTTGATTCTTTTCCATGGTAATATTTTTGGTTAAATCAAAACCAGCTTCACAATTCATACATTTTAGTTTCTCTGATGTTTTATATGATTCTTTTCCTCTAGAGATCACAACTGGGTTTGATGGAGGATCCTTAGAGCTAGGAGTTAAAATACTGGCATTATCATGGTTATATAAAAAGCTTTCCTGGGATGGAAAGTGAATACCACTACATTGTACTTCTGAATGTGGCATTGCAGAGTGACATACTGTAGGCAAGACGTTTTCTTTTATATCTATAATGCTTTGGCTTTTTGGGTCAGCTTTACAATGTTTTTCCTGCAAGCATGAGAGATAATCAGTTTCTGTGGTTATAAATGACTGCAGTTTTCCTTTATTAATTTTTGCTTCTTTACAATCAAGTTCCTGAGATATTATTTTATTATCAGAAGAACTGTTTTCATTACTGGAATATTTTCTCAGATTTGTCCCAAAAGAGCTGGTTAAAGACAAAGCTGGTTCTTCAGAATCATTCTGTAAACAGTTGTTTTTGACAGAAGAATGTAATAAACCTAAGCATAAAGACACAAAATGACAAAATAAAATTCAAGTACTATCAATCACAGTCACTAAATATTTTCTACAAAGTTAAAATTCTTATTTTCTAAAACAAGAATTACATGAAAAGTAAGAAGTGGATGTCAGGTTTAAAACAGAAATCATTCTAAATATTCTTTATCTTGAAGTTATTACTTTTCCAATTAAAGAGAAATGGGACCTAGTATTATTTTTTAATACGTATCAACTCAATCAAAATTAGTATGTAGTTTCAGAAAGCAGCTAGCTACCATGAGTAAAATTCAAAGTAATTATATTAGAAAATAGGAAAAAAATTCATTGCTAATATTGATGTAACAGAAAATTAAAAGCAAGGCAAAAGAAAGAATTAGGAAAGTAACCATTTCCTTCAGTTAATTCAGTCTTTCATATTGAAAAAAACACACAAAAAAATAAACTTTTAAAACCAGGTTCTAGGGCCAGCCGAGTAGCCCAGTTGGTTAAGAGCTCACTCAAGAGTGTGAGCTCTGAGCAACAGGGTCACCAGTTCGATTCACGGCCCGAGCTGAGCTGCTGCTGAGCTGCCAACAGGTGGCAGGATGGCTCAGCTAAAAACAAAAACAAAAACAAACTAAAAAAACAGGTTCTACATATGAAGGGCCTGAAAGATGACCTAATCTCAATTATAAAGGCAAATTAAACTGCTGTGTTCAGTTAATTTTAAAGGCCCTCTGAGTTTCCTATTAACAAGTCAAAATTATTCATTTTATTTTGTTTAATCAGTGACCACTATTATAGATTAGCTGTTTTATTAGTTTTAACTCTGATATGTACAGCATTAAACATTTTTCTCTGGAAATTAATCCAAATCTCAAATAGTTCCTCTGTACTCCACTTCCACCAAACCCATCAGTCACTGAGATGTTACAACCCACTAAAATCTTCTCACAGGGAGCTAAAATAAACTTTTTAACATAGAGTTTAGCTAGTGATTATATGAACTGTAACTCAAATAAAAAATGAGTTTCATTGTGCACACTCTGGACACACAGAAATACAGTAATAACTCTAGGCAATCTCTAAATATTTAAGAAAACTATTTAATGACAAAAATCACTATTTAGGACTGGATTAAATTTAGCTAGCAATTAGCTCTTTTTTCAGTTTTTTTACTTGCTTTAGAGGAAATACATAGTCAACAGCATAACACATTTACAAAATTGTCCAATTTGTATATAATAAACACTGGGAAATAAAAGCAGGAAGTATGTAGCCAGGCTCTTGATGCTTATAAAACACAGGCCTTGTCTCAAGAGTGATGATTATACATATATCCACACAAACTGATTTAACAAGTTTGAATGAAATGATTCCGAATATTGACAATCAAAAGCCTAAACAATAACGTTATGTTGACATCAACTGATATTGAATACAGGCTCTAGATTTGCTAGAGCCACATACAGCTTTAAAAGCCTTGTCTGAGCATTAAAAGTCGACCCTTGAACAACATGGGTTTGAACTGAGCAGATCCACTTATATTTGGACTTTTTTCAATAAATATACAGTTGGCCCTCCATATCCCTGGGTTTTGCATCTGCAGATTCCCAACCGCAGATTGAAAATATTGTTTTCAATCCATGGTTTGTTGAATCTGTGAATGTGGACGGCTGACTCCATGCATTGTTTCATGCCATTTTATATTGGGACTTGAGCATCTGAGGATTTTGGTATCGGTGGGGGGATGTCCTGGAATCAATCTCCCATGGATACCAAGGGATGACTGAGTTTCTGGGCAGTCAAAAGTTATACTTGAATTTCTGGCTGCACAGGGATCAGAGCATTGTTTAATGGTCAACTGTACAAGATATAGAGATTTTTAAAAACTACAAAGGGAAACCAAAAATAGTACAGAAGGAAAGCAAGCAGTATGTTTCAAAAGAGATTAAAGACAGGGATTCACATATTCAAATAAGAGTACTTGTCACCATCCATAAAACAATATGTACTATTCCCACACATACAAAAAAAGGTACCTGAATCAGCATTTGTAACTGTAGGTGATGCTTCAAAAGCATTTGATTCAAATTGGGCTGAATAGTCAGTCAGTCTTGATTCTTGGTCTTTCTGCATTTTTAGTCCTTGATAAGATGTTTCATCATTTATAGCATAAATAAACTTTTTAGTTTTCTTTCTCAAAGTGGATATTAAACTTGTATTCTTCAAAGCTACAGAAGTGTGTTTGATAGTGGCTGGCCAGCTTCCATTATCAACTGAACTTGTATATGAAGAACTCTCTTTCTGTGAGCAAACAGTATGTATTTCCAACCCACTTTCAGAGGCTTCAGGGTCTTCTTTCAAGTTTGGATCAGTCATATTACTTGAGAAAATTGCACTGGACATCTCTTCAGGCGATTCTCTGATCCTGAATATAGCCTTTTTGCTACCCTGAAGTGGAGAAGCTATCAGGGAAGTTTCAGGTACTGCGTGCTTTTCCACAAGAGTGGAATCTTCATGAGATTCAAGATACTGCCCATCATCTCTCTTATTTACCACTGTTTCCTGATGTAATACCTTCTCTGCTTTTGGTTCACTTGAAATATGTGGCAAAGAATTTTCTAAAGTAATAAAGTTGGTACGTTCTTTCTCTGTGCCTATGAGGTCTTTTTCTGAATTATTTTGGTCACAAGAAGAAATACGCAGTAGGGGTATTTTCTCCATCTGGGTTCCATTTAGACCTGAGAGGTTTAGCTGAGACCACTCAGAGGCTGAAGAGTGTACAATTTCCTCGGAGACAGTGTCACTTCCATTCCCAAAGGGCTTCTGACTTGTTATATTTGAATCGAAAGGACCACTGTCATTTGGTTCCATTTCAGACACAAATGAATGTTTATTTTCTTTCATTTGTTTTTTAGCTTCTTCACATTCATCGTTTTTTGGTTCATTGAAAATATTTTTCCTAGTCTTGCCAGCTTTTATTTCTTGAAAATTTCTTGTTTTATATCGAGAAACACATAATGAAAAATTATCTCCAGAAACATCGGCAACTTTTTCATGTATGTCATCTTCCAGGACATTTGGCATTGACTTTCCAAAATGATCTTTGCAGCTACTTACTTTACCAAATGAATTCTCCAATCCTGTTAAAGTTTAAAACAGAAACATATTAATAACATTTTATAATACAACCATATAATTTATACTATTTTCACAACCTTTTTCATAGAAATAGTATATATTAAATAACGCATAATTTAACATTTAAAGGGTTATCCTGAGTGCTAGCTATTTTTATTTTTTGGGAGGACACGCCACCCTTCCCATGTTCCTCTGATAAAGACTGACTCCAATGTCCCCAAAGACTTTTATTCATACTCCAATCCCCAATAACCTTTCTTGACTAGTTCGACACAATTAAACTCACCCAATCTTACTATAGATACACAATCTAACATCTAAAATTTATCAAATCAGATGTCCAAATTAATTTGTGGCTCTACAACAACTGAAAGTAAAATCTGATTACATGCACACATTCCCGCCCTCCCCCCTCACGCCCCTGATATCCATTCCTACACATTTATACAGACATACACACACACTAAGAAAAATGCAATATTCCCATGACCTGATTAGGTAATTTTTGGTATATCTGAAACCACATTTATTTTCTAATTAGAAAATTAGGCTTTTACATTTTTTGTTAATTATTAAGTCTTATTCTTCATCTGTAAGTTTTGAGTAATGGGCTTTGTTTGTGTGTCGCAGTAGCATAGTCTTATCTTGAAGAGTCTTATCTTCGCATGATGTTTAAACATTGCATCTAAATCAAGTTAGTTTGTACCCTCAATACCTTAAGTCATCAATAGAGGAGAAGCTATGTGTTTTCTCTTTAGGGGGAGCAATACTTCAATTATGTCAGTTAAAAACAGTAGTTCATTTAAACATAAGGACTTACCATGACTTTTAGCTTCTCTTTGATTTTTGTTTTCATTGTCTAGCCCAGAAGGGCTAAACCTATTATTTTTCTTCAGACTTTCATCATTGTTAGAAAAATCGTTTTTCAAAATCTGCAAAAGTTATATTTAAAATTACTCATATAGGAACTCTCACTATACATAAATATTCAACCCATTCTTGAATCAAGAGACAGCCAAGTTTCATAGGAAGTCAAAGAAAATCACATATAGGAACAAGTTTACAGATATTCTCAAAGGCTTAGATAAATTATAAATCAGGGAGTGAAAAAAATGCAAGATCAATAATTTTTCACAGCATCCTAAAATTATAAGCAACTGCAACAGCATAATCAATTTGTCATATTTACTTACAGCAGTAGTATCATTAGGACATACAGCTGCACATGCTTCTTCATCTCTGACTGGAAAAAAAATTCAATTTACCTCTACTGTATTATACATCATACACTAAAGTTAATGCGAAAACTTATGTATTTTTTGGTCAGACATGAAAAGACACATATACTATTGGATTAAATGACACATTTGAAACAAAATGAATTGACCCAAGTATAGTAATTAGAAAGGCCAATCAACATAGTGAATAAGCTACAATATATTCACATCCTTAGTACCACTCATATAAGGTGTTAAGAAACTATGGCTTGGTGATCCTGACCTTAAGGTAATATCATCCACAAAGAGTTGGAGACTCATATGAAACTGTAAGGTCATGAATTAAAAGCTAAAGCTTATAGACTTTACCATTTACTTAGATAATAGTACATATAGTCTAAAGGCATATCATACGTTAAACATTTCTTACTGTTCAACATGCATTATTTCATCTGAGCAACAAAAGAACAAAGTTAAATTTCCAGCTAAAGGAAATGGAATGATTTTTGCTGGAATTAAAAAACAAAACAAAAAACCATCCTGGTTTGCATATAATTTGACTCCTATAGGATACTACTTAATGTATTTGTGATTTATCCTAATCTACACTAAATAGAATAAAACTATTCTAACACACTCATCAGACAGTGTTGTCTAATTTAATTACTATCTAATTATATTTTCATGCTTTCTTTTCAACAGAAGCATTAGAGATGACAATTCATCAGTGTCATTGACCTCCTTATGAAATACACATTGACAGTCTTACCTATGAGCACAGTAGCACTGAGGGTCGGTGGTGTGGCCAAAGAACTTGACCAAGACATATCAGGATCCACCTCAACTCCTAGACTTTCAGAAATATGTTTTGGTGTCTGATTCTGGAAATAAAGAAAACAGTTTCTTTCACAGGAAGGCACTGATGATTGAGAATATTTTCTCATTCACTTATTTTTTTCATTTATCATTTACTGAATGCCTATGTGAGACTGTAAGCACATATCTGTAAGTCTCAGGGCAAAAGTATGACACTGTTGTCAAATTCTCAATTACTACACAATAAGAATAAGCTAGGCAGAATATTTACCGTCAGAAGCTTCGGTGTATGAAATAAATATCCACATACCACTGGAGGTAAAACAAGGAAAAAATTATCAAGTTTTATTTTTATTAAAATTTAGAATATTAAAAAAATAAAAGCCTTGGTTTTAAATCATACCTGACTTTTCTCTTTGTGGTGTTACATGCATACATCGCAGAACACCAGGACTAAAACAAAACAAAACAAATCCCTCATTATTCAAGAGAAAACATAAATGGCAAAAAAAATTACTAATATTACAAAAAGAACTCAGACATATCAATATTAGAATTATACTACTTTATAACTTTTTATATTACTTTAAAAAAAAAGATTTTATTGGGGAATTGGGGAAGGGGAATAGACAAGTTGCTGTCCTTTTGTTCTTCAGTCTAGTCGCTTCACTGGCCCATGTTGGTATTATCATTGCGCTCTTCCCGGCTGAGTCGACGTTGACGCGACTCATGGCAGCCCAGCTCCAGGTCGAGCGGTTGTTCACCATCTTAGCTGTAGAGGGCGCAGCATCACTGGCCCTCAAATGTGGGATCCAAAACCGGGCCCTGCTGCACAGAGCTAGCGTTCCAAACAAACTCCTAACCAACGCACCACTCAGCCGGCCATATAACTTTTTAAAAAGTATCTCATGAAGAACTAAGTAACCACTAAATTATGTTTAAAATGCCCATTGAAAGTAATGTATAAAGTACTCACAAATTTCAGCTGGTAGGGATTGTATATTTTGAATTTTAAAATTATATGAAGTGAATCTATAGTAGCATCATACTCTCTCCAATGATTCAAAGTACACAAATAATTTATTTTAAACTGATATTACAAGGGCATTGTTTTTCATCATTAATATTTTTGTTACTTAAAAACTTCATAGACTATACATAAAAACCAGTGAATTCAACATTATAAGAAAAACAAAGAAATGTTTCTAACATAAAAATTATTGTATTAAATAACTCAACCTAAAAGATTATTTAAAAATAAAAGTTCCTCTACCAGGCTCTCTGCCAAAATATTAGCGTGAAAATTAAATGCATTTCTATAAAACAAATGATCATTTGTAGGAAAACGTTTAAGTATTTTAATACAGTAGCTTTAACATACCTTTCAATAAGACAATTTAGAGGTGGGCTGGAAACATCATTTGCTTGATCCATTTTAGCCTTCATTGTGCAACAACTTTTATGCTTATTATTGGTGATATCCTTTCCTGGAACAGTACGATAATTCAGTGATGATGTGTATGCTCTGGATTGTGAATTTTCATTCTCTGGAAGTATTTAAAACAAAAAGTTTCATCTGTACTAGAAGGAGAATGTAAGAGTTCAGTCTGAACTGGCTCTCAGTTTGCTGATCCTCCCAAAAAGGGATGTCTGCCCCCATTTAACAACCATAGTAAGCATGCGTGCATAGTATGCATAAGGCACCTTGGGTAATGCAACCAAGATACAGCTTTAACCTCAAGGAGTTCAGAATACAGTAGGGGGAATTTTTTTGCAATGTACACAAGTGGAAGACAAAGTTGAATGTGTTATGTCCTTTGATTAAGTTTCACAGTACTACGGTATCAGGGAACATCAGAGTAAAGGAAAAGACATTTACTGAAAACCTACCAAGGTGCCAAATCTGACCACTACTTTTCTGCTGAAAGCCTTTTGAGATCTTGTTCTCACAGTGAAGTTCAAACTCCATAACAAGACTCCCTAGTATCAAGGCCTTCATGATCTGTTGTCTTAATTTCTATGGTGACATTTTTTCACATTTTATTTTCAGTCGTATCCAACCACTTGCATATCCTGCAAGAATCCTCTCTTTTTCTCTAGGCCTTTGTACAAACTGTTTCTCTCTTTTTTTTTATTGCTCTTGACCTGGAACATCCTCTTTTGGGCTTCCATTTTGAAACTACCTCCTCCAGAAAAGTTCAGTGGTCTCTACAGTGAGATTAAGTGACTGCTCCTTTATGTGCTCCCTGCAGAGTTTATCAAACACTGTTCCCGTTTCCTCTATTAGATTGTGAGTTCCCTGAGATTGACATCTTGTCTTATTTATCACTGTATCCTTAGCAACGACAATAATTGCCTGCTATGTTATAGTCACTCCACAAATACTGTCTGAATGAATTAGCAGTGATTAGAAAAGTGGATTGTAGACAGCAACACATACTCCTGCTATTCTCATTGACTACATCTACTTTCTGGATAGGGTTTGGAATGCTCAGACAAGGCTTTTAAAGCTGTATGTGGCTCTAGCAAATCTAATGTACAGGTTTTCAACATTCCTATTTTCTGTATTACAAATTGGACACTTGAGGCGCTTATTATTACTCTTAAAAATTGCTTTTAAAAATAGTTGCTTTAACTGATTCTATGGTCTCTAGCTTAGAAAAGCTTCGGGGAAAATAAGTTGTAATGTGTTACTAAAATAAAGCAAAGACCAAACTGAAAACGATTTGTAGCAGCATACACAAAACACTGCGTTATATTCTCATTTCTCAAGTAACAGGGAATAGACATAATCAGTAAAAAGCCAAATGTACGTATAACTTAAAAACCTTACTTCAACAAATATCCAACCTCCTTCATTAATGAGACTTTTAAAGGTATTAAAATGTAGCTAAACTTATTTTTCGAAATTCACCTTTCCTTGTTCACTTTAACAAAGATCCTAAAAAGAAAGGCAAACAAACAAACAAAAAAAACGAACTTAAAAAATAAACCAAACAATGAGATACCACTACACACCTATTAGAATGACTAAAATCCAAAACAATGACAACACCAAACGCTGGTGAGGACATGGAGCAAAAGGAACTCTCACTTGCTGCTGGTGGGGATGCAAATGGTGCAGCCACTTGGGAAGACAGTTTACAGTTTGTTACAAAACTAAACATAATTCTAATGTATGATCAAGCAATCATGCTCCTTGATATTTACCCCAAGGAGCTGAAAACTTAGGTCTACATAAAAACCTGCACAGGGGTTTATAGCAGCTTCATTCACAATTGCTATAACTTGGAAACAATCAGACATCTTTCAGTTGGTGAGTGTATAAACAAACAGGTCCATCCAGACAATAGAGCATTATTCAGTGATAAAAAGAAATGAGCTAGCAAGCCATCAAAAGACATGGAGGAACCATATATTGCTAAGTGAAAGAGGCCAGTCTGAAAGGCTCCATATACTACGATTCCAACAAAGTACACGACATTCTGGAAAAGACAAAACTAGACGCAGTACAAAGACCAGTGCTTTCCCGGGATTTGAGGGTGGTGGTGGTGGTGAATTAGAGTTCATGGGGAATTTCCAGTAAAACTGTTCTGTATGATACTGTAATGGTGGACACATGATATTATATATTTGTCAAAATCCACAGTCCTGCACAAAGAAACTCTGATGTAAACAAAGGACTTCAGTTAATAATAAAGTGTCAATCTTGGCTCAGCAGTATAAAGAAACCCAATTGTAAAAAATGAAAAGCAAAAAAATGAAACAGGCAAAAACAACTGCATACCCAAATAATCATTTCCCCCAAAACTTGAGAGTCTCATAAATAAGCTGAATAATGGTAAGATAAACTCATGATTTGACACAAAAGAACTGCTTAGAAGCAGAAAGAGCACATTTCCTCATAAAATTCTAGGGATAATTCTTTTTAAAAATAATATATTAGATGTTAGAACTGAACAAAGCAGGTTAAAAACAGCTTAAGTCTTACTCTTACATTTCAATACTAATTTTAAAATAAACTTAAAAGCAAAAGTCTCAAGAGACTAGTCAAAGGATTATTTATGCATGCCAACCTTAAAAAGTTAGCGTCTCTGAGCGAGTCCCAAGTGGCTGTGTTAATTCATCCCTATCCTTCCCTGGTTAAACACCGACGGACCCTAGCAGGTAACAATTAGAGAATAAACCACTGACTCTATGAGTGTCTTTCAAGACTCAGGATTCGGCATGAACTGGCTGAGGGAGCTTTTCCTGGCTGCATTAAGACAGATGGTAGACGGCTGCTCCCTTCACTATGCTCACAACACGGCACTTGGTACATGCCCTTACAATACCAGTATATCTATTTACATACCTTCTCCCATACAAGACTGAGGTCCTAGAGGTCAAAGGCCATCTAACTCATTTTTGTATCCCGAATGTCTAGCAAGTTGCCAGGCAAACAGTGAGCATGGAATATTGGTTAAATGGATGATTCCTTTTTCTGGGTTCTCCTCTGCATTTCCTCTGCCAAATACTCCCTAGGCCTTATCATCATCATCATTTTTCTCACCGTATGTGATAACTTCCCAAACACATAGTTGATTACTCGTTTTCTCTTCTGCCTGTATTCTTTCAGTCTTGTATTCCCCAAAGCCTTCAGGACATCTCCACCTTAACATCCCATTGTCTCAAATGCAGGCCAAAGGCAACCTAATTTTTTCTTCATCCTTTCACACCTTTTCCTTCTCCAACCTGCTTTTCCTCCAGTGCTTACAATTTCTATGACTGTCACCACTATATTTCAACTTAGTCGCACTCCAAACCTGTGATTTAATCCTTTCTTTTGAATTCTCCACACCTAGGGTCCTATATTTTCCACCTTCCATGGCCACTTTTACTACCGTTACTCTAATTCAGGCACTTGCCCCATCACTTGGCACATGTCTCCCACTGACCTCCCTGCTCCTAGTCTTCCCTTTCACAGGAATCACCCAGTTACTTTAAAATGTACATTCATGGGCTCCATTTCCAGAGATTCTAATTGAACAGACTCAGATTAGGGCCTGCCATCTTCCCTTTCAGTCAGTACTTCAGGAGATTCTGACTGGTCTAGGCATCACATTTTGAAAAAGACATCTCCAAAGACAGCTGTCAACAGGCTTTCTAAAGCAAAACAAATATTCATTTTCCTACAAACACTTCCTGAATACTCAGTGTATATACCAGCTGGTACCCAATAACATACAAGGAAATCTTTGCCTATTAACTGTTATCTCCTTCATATGCATATTTTCTAGTACCATTAATTTCCTCTTTTATAGCATTTATCACGCTATAATTGCTTATGTAAATCTCTTCACTAGAAGATAAATGAAGATCTGAAAGATGAATCTGAAGTCAGCTAGACAAAAAGAAAGTAGTTCTGGGTAGAGGTACCAATGTGTAATTAGCCACAGAGCCCTGTGGTCTTAAAAAGAAATTCAGTATGAATGAATGGTAAATTGAAGATGGGAGGGAGGGGGGTTATGGCAAGATGAGGCAAGAGTTAATGAGATACCAGATGATAAAGGACCTTGTAATCATATTAAGGAGTCTGGATTTTATCAGGAGGGCAAAAGGGAGTTAGGTGATCAAAGGTTTGAAGCAGGAAGTAGATGATCAAGTTTGCATGTGAGTTTTTTGCTCAGTAAATTATCAAATAAATTCAATTTCATTAGCCTGGCACTCAACACCTCCCTCTAATGTTTTTAGTTTTAGGTTGTTTATTGGTCCCTGTCAGATTCAACACTCCAAACAATGTGAATTACTTGCTATTCTCTTAACATATTCTTCCTCATGTTTTTCCCTTTGGTAGAACACAATTACTTCACCCCATTTTCAAGTTTCTGAATCTCACCTGTCCTTCAAGATTTAAATCAAATGAATCATTTCCAAATTCCTCCAATACTATTTATGCTTTCTTCTCAATTGTCATTGTACTTTTCTTTTGACATGTACCACATTCAACCTTAGATTATTCGTTATGTGTGTACTGTTAATTCCCCTTACTAGAGAATAATATTGCAAAGGGAGAGGATGTTATTTAAATCAAGCAGGTAATAAGTGTTTCAATGACTGAATATATAATCTTAATACATGATTGACTGGAAGTATCTATCGCATAGGCCAGGCAAACTGCTACCAAATCAAAGGACATTTATAGAAAATTGATAAAAATAATCTGTCCTTTGTGAAGGCCTCCAGAAATATAGTTTAATTAACATCAAAACAAGTCCTAGGTTTCTTGTATAGGCAAGATATAATTTAACAAGTCTCAGTAGGCAGGATGTATTAATCAAAGGTAGGAGGAAAAGGAACATCTATTAAGTACCTATTTTATTTAATCCAAACTTACTGGATGTTATTTTCATCATCTCCATTTTTAGGTGGGGCAAGTGAGGCCAGAGAGATTGATGTGACCAACATGACACAGTTAATGACAGAGCTGGGATTCTGAACACAGGTTTGTCTAAATTCCTAGTTCATGTTTTTTTGCTAGTCTGCGTCACATTACTTACCTAAATCTAACCTGCCTTTATCTAATTCTTTTAGAGGAGACTGGTACAGTGGCAGAGTTAGAGCTTGCTCTTTGGGTATTATTGGAGTTGAAGCCAATAGATGATTAGGTTTCCTTTGTGGTGTTTTAAATAGGTTTGTTTCAGAACTGCTGATTTTATATTCAGATTCTTCTGCAGTTTCAGAATTATAGGGTGGAGCTTCTGAAGAAAGTTCTTCAAACCAATTAAGGCTTATTGGTCCTAAATCTGTAAGAAAAATAAAAATCCCACCTTGGTTTTAGTCAGAGACACAGAAAAAGTCCTGAGCCAGTAAAGATCATAATAAAGGTTACTTGAGATTTTGACTGTGGATGACTTTTGTTAAAGCATATTAACTAAACAGGATCATTCTCTTATGAATCTGTAGTAAGGTATAACAAGTTTACAAAAGTTACAAGGAGATAGCTCTTAGCTACATTAGTTCTTCTAAAGTTTTGTTTCTCCCATATTCACAATTCGGAAAAATCATAGGAAGAGCGCATTCCAGACACAATTCAAATATTTACAGAGACTACACAAGTGGATGTGATAAATCTATAGGTATAAGGAACATGCAGACTCATGAATAAATAAAATGGAATAAAAAGATTCTCTGTTAAAGAGAAATTACAAAATTTCTGCTATGCTCTATCCACCCTTAGAGTAGTGGTTCCCAAAGTATGGTCTGTGGACCATTTGGGTGGAAGGCCCCAGGACCCTTTCAGGAGGTCCATAAGGTCAAAACTATTTTCATAATAATATGAAGGCACCTTTTGTCTTTTTGTTGTTGTTGTTTTTGTTTTTTTAAGCTGAGCCATCCTGCCACCTGTTGGCAGCTCAGCAGCTGTTCAGCTCGGGTCGGGAATTGAACTGCTGTTGCTCTGAGCTCAAACTCTTGAGCGAGCTCTTAACCAACTGAGCCACTCGGCTGGCCCTACCATTTGTCTTTTTCACAATGTTGACATCTGAATCACTGGTGGGAAAACTGATGACATTTGCATGAGTCAAGGCAGTGTCAACAAACTGTACTAGTAGTCATTGTATTCTATGTCACCATTCACTTGTAAAAAAACAAAAACCAAAAACAAAAGGCCAGTTTAACTTAAAATGTCCTTAATGAAGCAGCACAAATTAGTTCTATTAAAGCCCAACCCTTTAGCACATCTTTTTTAATATTCTGTGACAAAATGGAATATACATAAAGGATTTCTGCATCTTTAAGTAGAATAGTTGTCTAGAAAAGCACTCATATGATGAGTTGTGAGCTGAATTAGCACTATTTTCATGGAAAGCCATTTTTACGAGAAAAGAATGACTGACAACCTAAGTCATTCTGAGTTGGGTGGTTTGAGACATTTTTTTCAAAAATGAATGAAGTGAGACTGTCACTGCAGGGAAAACAACAGAGTTGATTGCCAATGAAAAATTGTGAGCTTTCAAATGAGAATTAGGATTTTGTTAAACTTTACCAGCCCCTGTGAGGTTGACAACCTCCTAATCTTAAAAAGACTTTTCATCAGTGAACAAATGATTTTTTACATACGGTTTAATGAATGTGTCAATATATGGAATATCTATGTAATTCAGAACATAGGCATTTTCCAAATAATCAAGCATGATGTTACAATATAGATAAAATATATATTCAAAGTGCAAGAAAGACTAATAGAATTTAATGTAACAAGAGTATAAATAGTTCATGATATGGTTTCAGGTTTCACATTGTAACTTTTAAGAAACTACCACTTTAAGTTTTGGTGAAGTATCAAAGAAAAATACCCACAATTAACTGAAGACTATTTAAATACTTTTTTCTTTTTCCAACTACATTACCATGTGAGGCTGGATTTTCTTCATACACTTCTACCAAAGCAACATATTGCACACAGGTTAGATAAAGAAACAGGTATGAGAATCCAGCTATCTCCTATTAAGCCATATATAAAAGAGAATGGCAAAATTGTAAAACAATACCACTTTTTTGGAAAAATACATTTTTCATAAAAATGTTATTCATATTAATATGTAGTGGGTTTATTTTTATTTTTAGGTGAGATATTATTTTTAAAAGTTCCTAGTTTTAATTTCTAACATGGCAACTACATAAACAAAAGCTCTCTGGGGTTCTCAGTCATTTTTAAGGAGTACTGAGACCAAAAAGTCTGACTTCTGCTATAAATTAACAATACCAATGATTCTGATTTGCTAGAAGTTCTGTGCTTTAAAAACAATTCTTCCTATGGCTGCTAACAAGAGGCCAGTATCCTCTTTATCCACTGGGGGTTCTACACAGTTTCTTACCATTTTGGTTCACTGTAAATGATTATTTTCTTAACTGGATTTATGATTTCATACAGAACAGTTTATTGTGTGAACAAAAACGTGAAGTATTGGATTCTTTTCAGCAAGCATGCATATTTACGTACTTTTTCTGAAAACATTTGCTTAAAGTAATTGATCAGTTATTATAAAATCTGCCAATACCTGCTTGGCTGCATCGCGTCTTAAAAATTTCAAAAAAAGTTGGCCTCTCTTTGCATCCAATAGGCATTTTTCTCTACAATGTTACTACAACGCTTGGTAAATGAATCTGCAAAATACCAAAACACATTTCACAGGGGTACAGTCATTTATCTGGGGTACACTCAGAAAAAGGTACACTTGCCTAAAGTTACACTGTTTATCTCGGTCCAATCAGGCATTTAAAATGGCAAGGGCAACTCAAGAACAGCACTTTTGATATTACTTAATTTTAATTAACTAGTCACGTGTGGCGAGGACGCCTGTTAGAGGTAAACTCCGTTTGCCAATTCCAGATCAGTACATCTTCTTCACACTACAGCAACCAGCTGGGGGTTAAGTAGGGCAGATAACGGTGTGTCAGAAGCTGGAAACATTTTCCATAGTACAATATTCCAGTAAAGTAACTTTATCGTGTGTCCAATGAAGGAGATTTCAGATTGGACACCTGGGACGGTTAGGAGGCGACCCGCCCCTGAGAGGGTGGCGGGGTCAAGGTGGGGAAACTTCCAAGGAGTCCCAGGGCAGGAGCCAAACCTGCGGTCAGGAGGGCGGGTCCCTCGTCCCAGTCAGCGCGGGGCTGGCACAGACATCCGGGGCCGGGAGAGGCAGCTCCCCGCCGCATGAGGGGCGCCCCCGCCGCCTGAGACCGCGGAGCGCCGGCCCGCGTCCACCCCGCCAGCACTAACCGCCTCCACAGACGCAGCTCTTTTCGGCCGGAGCAGACAATTCGGTCACAATCGGACCCTAGGTTCCTCCGGCAGACACCCACCGCCCAGACAACAGCCGACACGCAGCCCGCAGCCCCGCCCCCGCGGCTTGCTTTCACAAGCTCGCGCCAAAGCCCGCTCTCCGACACGTCACGCGCCGACGCTGTGACGCGGCACGCAGCGCGCGCGCCGCCCGGAAGTCAGGCTGGTCGGGCTGTTGCTGTTGCTCCCAGTGGCGAAAACTGGTTCCTCATTCGCATAGCAGTCGCTGTGGAAATGCAAAAAGTGGGGCTGGAGCGCTCGTTTTCTTCTCCTTGAGCCTTGGGAGGCACCTCCCTGTGTACACTCCGCGACTCATTCCACTTTGCTCCACCTCACGTTCGGGGTGGCCGCGATCGCACGCGCGGGGCTGCTGACAGGCCTTTGTTCCATCCTTAGGGCGGGCATCCCCCAAAGTCGCCAGCCTTAGAAGCGTAGTGTGTGGATGACCCCTTTTCCGGCCGCGTGCTCCCAATGGAGTAGAAGGGGCTGAAATGTGAAGCCAGAGAACTTAGGTTCTAGTCCACGTGATGATCTTAGATAACAGGCTGGAGCCTGTCTGCCTGCTGGAGAAATTGTGAAACCCGCCTTAACCCAGACTTGCGGTGTTAGCTACTGCCCTCTGCAGGCTTCCCCGTAGCATTTACATTCTTAGGGGACCGATCACCCTGTTTGTGCCTGACTTCCCCTCCAAACTGCCGTGGTATATGGGAATCTGCCCTCATTCACAGGGTCTGTGACAGGCCTAGCACAAGACTTAATTCTGGTTTGTTGTATGAACTGAGAGGCTTCCAAGGATTCTGGAGATGAGAGCTTTTAATGGGCCTTGCAGCTTCTGGAAGGCTCTTAAGCAGTAAACAGCCCAAAGCAATCTTGGGTTGGAAAAAGGGAGGGCCCTGTTTAGTTCTTTAGGTGTCATTTTAGTATGATCTTAACCCTAAGCTGTAGCAGGAAGCCTTACCAATGCAGAGATACCAAAGCGTATGATCATTTAGGTCTAAACAGCAAAGGAACACAGGCCTCTGATCCTAACCTAATGGCTACAGCTTACTGAACATTTGATTTATCCTGCTTTTTGCTTTACAAAGCAACAGCACATCTAATCTTATAATCCTAAAAATTGGCTAGTATTGTCAGATGGAGAAAATCACTTAGTAACAAGGCCCAGGTTTCAATTCAAGTGAGTTTGACCTTAGATACTTAACTATCCTGCTATTATACCTACATTTACCCTCTAAATCAGAACAAACTGCTTTACCCCCCCTTTTGGGGGGTCCTCACTAGGAGTGGACTAAGAACCTTTGACATGTCAACCCTCAAATACATTTTCTTTTACTATATGCATCACCTCCGCCCACACCCCTCTCCCCATAACTTTACGCCTTTCGCTCGTGTGGTCTTTACATTAGCTCTGCCATAATATACTTTCTTCCTCATACACTTTTAGTATAAGGCTGCTCAAATAATTTACTACTTATGTTTGTTTTACTATATACTTTAAAACAGGATATCTAAAATGGTAGTGTTGTCAGAAAGTGGGCCTTCTCAGCGCAAAGTCCAGGTCCTTGGAAACTCGAGCAAAGAATTGAACAAGATGCCAGAGTAAAGTACTGAAAGAGTAGTTTATTCGAAGAGATAGTACATTTCAAAGAAGTAGTAGGCCCGAACATTAGAGAATGGCTCAAGGGCCCATTATTGGAAGAGAAATTACATTCCAAAGAGTTTGGAGCAGGCCACAAAGGCGAGGCTCAAAAAGCTCAAAAAGGAAGAAACGGTCAAAACAGCAGAGCATCCAAAAAGAGAAAAAAGGGAAAAAAGGAGGACTTTTTAGGACTTGGGGTTTTAATCCCTTCTCTAGAATGGGCTGTTCCCCCTAAGGGCGGTGGACCACTTGATTGGCACCTGTGATTGAGGAGAGGTACAGCACATGTGGGAGTGACTGGTCTGATCTAGTTGGGTATTTTGCACCCATTTGTTTTCCCGCAGGGGTAGGTAATTACAACACATAGGGAGTTTTGGGTGGAGAGGGGATGTCCGCTTGGCATCGCACTCTGTGGGATGTGTCAGAATGCAGAGACCCAATGCCTTCCTCTAACTGCCTGCCTAGTTTTCTCCTTGAGAGACGTGATCCCCATAAAATCTCTATGGGAAGTTGAGGGACAGGAGGTTTCTTCTGCATCTGCTTGCTGCTGGGCAGGGGTGTAGAGGTGTCCCTGCCTATTGGGGGATTCACGGAACTCTCACCCTGCCTGATCTTAGATGGGAGGAAGGGGTCTCAAGCTCCACTTGGAAGACCGTGTTGGCTTCTTTGGTTGTGACTGGCAATCTTGTTGGGGTATCCTCTTTATCCCCAAGGTTCCTGAATGAGGAGAAATAGATTTTAATTAATAAATCTGTTAGCTCTCATAAAGCCTGTTGCCATTCAGCCTGTTACTCAGGTGGCATCAATTGTCTGGGCCCAGAATGGGTTTGGCATTTAGCTTACTGGCCTGGGGGATATGAAGAAGTCACAGGCTTTCAAGTAGTTATCTGAAGCAGGGGCAGGAGACTTCTATTGTTTAGGATTCGGAAACTGATTTACAAAGCAATCAAGAAGGAGAGGGATAGGAGAATTCTAGGATTCCGGCTAGGAGCAATCTTTAGCTTAGGATTCACAGCCTGATGAGAAGAGTAATCAAAGCCAGGGGCTAAAAACCTAAGAAACTAGGGAGGATACTTAACATTTCTATAGGAAAGAAAACAAGTCTTTGGGGGAGGGGGCATTCTGTTGGTCGGTAACAATAGTTACTATGAGAATAGATGAATGAATTGCTAATTAAACATGTGTACCAATATATCAGAAATGAAAAACAGCTTTGAAAAAAAGAATCAGGAGCAGCGTACCCAAGACAGTGAAGAGCAATTTGAATCTGGTGGCAATTAGATGTCTGTAGGTAGGCAATTCTCCTCCCCACTTCCAATTAGAGTAATAGGCAGCAGCTCCAATCAGAATCTGAAATAAATGGAGAGGCTAGGGATAAACCCGAACCAACTTGACCAGGAGGAAGGAGGGGTGAATGAAAGTGGAAGGCAGAGAACAAGGATACAAATTGCACCTGGATCTTGCGCTGTGCCTGGTTGCCAGGCGAGTGAATGGAGCACTTTGTCCGTGTTCCCTATGGCCTGTACCAGGGGACACACTATGGGAACACACTGCCTTTGGGCCAGACTGGGCTCTGTGAGCACAGACACTCCAACTGGAGGCACAACATTGGTGCCCCCGCTTTCCTGGCCAGGCCAGGGCTGCTGGTGCCCATGAATGCCTCTGACTACTGCGTGGACCCCTACAAGAGGGCGCAACCTAAGGGCATTCTCTCCCAGCAGAACCCCAGCCCAAGCCTGCAGCTGTTCAAGCCCCACACCAAGGAGGTGGGCGTGCAGGTGAGCCCGTGGGTGGACAAGTCCGTGCAGTGCTCGCTGGGGCCTCGCACCCTGAGCAGCTGCTGCCCATGGGGCAGCACAGGCTCCAAGGCACCCCTGCCAGCCTGGGGCGCCAGTACTCCAGTGATGATCCGGCTGCGGAAGGATGGGGAGGATGAGGAGAGGAAGGTGCTTTCTGGTCCTGCAGAACCCAGCTGGCAGCAGCCACCACCAAGGCCAAAGTTGCAGGAGGACAAGCAGGAAGAACTCTGGCAGCAAGATAAGTTGGGGGAGGAAGACTCCTCGAGTCCTGGGGAAAGGAAGAGCAAGCAGCCCCAAGGAGATGCTGCCTATCTGCTCAGGAAACCCAACTTCCAGGTGAGCTTTGTCTACCCTCTCCTGTCCTCTGCTAGCCCAGCCTGTCTTTCCTCTTCCATTTCTAGGGCAATAAGAGCAAAACCTTCCCTCCTTTCCTCCCTTTGTTTGATGGAGAGGAAGTTCTGAAAATGCAGCCTACATATTTTGTAACTTTTTTATAAAATAGGGTGCCAGCTTTAAGCACATGCAAACCAAAACCCTGGCAACTATTGCTATTGGTTGGGGATGAGAAAAAGAAGGGTTTTAAATCTGTGAAATATGTGATGTGATTTTTGTTTTGGGGGTCTGCTGGTGGCATTGTGGAAAATGGATTGGAAAAGTATGAGAGACAACAGTGAGAAGAATCCCTTGAGAGAGGAGATGCTCTAAATTAATGTAACCTTGAGAACAGCTGTGAATGAGGTTAAGGAGCCTTTTTGTATTTCTTATACAAAGCCACCAGCAAAGAAGGACCTGGCTTTTTTTTCCCTCCAAGATAATGAAAGCCTTCTCTATTTGCAGTTTTTGGAACCAAAATATGGCTATTTTCACTGTAAAGATTGTAAGACCAGATGGGAGAGTGCTTATGTGTGGTGCATTTCTGGAACTAATAAGGTGAGTGAAGTGAGTGGGACGTGGAGGAGGGTGGGGTGGTACAGATGTTAGGTGGAGGAAGAATGTTTCCTGGTGGAGCATGACATGATGCGTCTCATTCATCTTGGTCCTCAGTGCCAGGCACATAGTAGGTTCTCAGTAAATGTTGGGACTGGATGGGACTGGACAGTCCACATGAGCTCCTGAGGCTGCTGAAACCTGTCCTGGTGCTCTGCTGGATTTGGTAGTTCTGTTGGACAAAATGTCAGATTATTTAGATGAACTTTTGTTCTTCTGTATATACACTGGGACTTTCTATAATCATGTTTTAGTTGGTATATTTTGAGCAGGTTTGGGCCTTAGCTCTAGGAAATTTCCACTGTCTGTCCACAAGGTGGGGCTATAAGAGAAATAATTTATTGTGAGGGTTAGTTGGCTGTGAGAGACTTCTTTAGGCTAAGCAGATTTTCATCTCCTCCTCATCCCCCACCCCCATTTGCATTAGTTGTCAACATATTAAGACTGGGCAAGATTTCTCAGTCTGTGTTTCCAGATTTTCCTCAACAGTCACACTCTGGACATCACAGACTTGAGTTTCAGTCTGAGAACTGTAGGCAGGGCCTAAGCAGCCTCTCGTTCCTTTCCCTGGGCATGTGCACGTCATTTTGTAACAGTCTACACCTGGACTAGTTTATTAACTTCCACAAGCATTTGAGTTTGGGGCGCCTGTGCTGTCACACTTTAGATACTGCTTTTTCAGCTAAAGGACTGTAGATGGAGATTCATGCTAAGAACTGAATGGAAACGTGACTTCACACTAGCCATTAGACCCTGGAGGCGAGTGGATTTTTAAACTAAACTAAAATTACTTCTCTTGCCAGAAGAAAAACAACGGGTTTAATTTAAACACTCCAAGACACTAGGATGCAAAGAACAAGACATAGAATTCATCCTCAAGAAATTTATTCTAATAGGAGTGATGGAGACAAAATGCAATTTGGTGACAAATGCAGTGGCACCTGTGGCATGGACATGGTCCCCAAACAACACACCAGGGGGATGACTTACCCTGTCAGTGAGGGGGACGGCATCTTGTTGTCCAAGCAGGACTTGAAAGGATAAATAGGAGGAGTTCACCAAGTGAGGCAGGGAGAAAATGCGCATGAGGAAATGCACAAAGCCTAGAAATCACATGTATTGGTGGGTAACTACAAGTAATTTGAAGTTCAAGTGGGAAATACTGGGGGGAAAAAATGAAAAAGCAGGGGCTAATAGACCAGGGCAAAAGGAGAAAGTCAAGGGCTTGGCCTGCACAATGAGGGAAATTATAATAGTTATTTCCCATTGGTACTATGGTACTTTATATACATTTCTGAGTAGTTGTTAGAATTATGGAAAAAATAAGGAGTTGGATCTAGATTTTACAGGTAAGAAAAATGAGGTTTGAAGAGTAAAAAAGTGACTGATTGGCATTAGAAGACCTCAACACCTCCAGGTAGAGGTTGGGCAAAAGCAAGGTACAAGGGGAGGGAGTGGGTTACTTAAATTGAGAACTTAGGCCTAGGGTACATTTAAACTTGGATTTAAAAAAGGACAAATTTCTCTTTAGGTTTATTTCAAACAACTCTGTTGCAAATGCCAGAAGAGTTTTAACCCTTATCGAGTAGAAGCAATCCAGTGTCAGGTAAACTTATGAAACACTTCCATTGTGTCTATAACGTTTCCATTCTGAACAGGAAGCTTCTGTGGCATAATGTTAGTATTGGATATTTGTGTAGGAGAGTTAAGTTTTCTATGTGTTTGAATTTTTAGGATACTTTAGGGTAAAAAAGCATAAATTGTGGGGTTTTTTGGAGGGGGGAATGGGAGAAAAATGTACTTTTTAAAAAAAGATTTTTATTGGGGAATTGGGGGAAGGGGAACAGACAAGTTGCTATCCTTTTGTTCTTCAGTCTAATTGTGGAAGACATTGCTTCACTGGCCCAAGTAGGCACACATCATTGTGCTCTTCCCAGGCTAGGCAGGTCGGTTGCCTGCTCCTGGATGGCCACTCACACTGGCTGCTGGCTACACACCGCAGCCCATGGCAACCCACCAGCCAACGCTGGCCACTCACGGCAGCCCAGCTCCAGGTTGAGCTGTTGTTCAGCATCTTATCTGTAGAGGGCAGTGCCACTGGCCCTCATATGTGGGATCCGAACCGGGGCCCTCTGGCGTCCCAAGCCAGTTCTTAACCAACGCGCCACTCAGCCGGCCCGAAAAAATGTACTCTTAAGTTGCCTTACGTGGTGTGCTTATGTATGGGGTTGTGTTTTACCTCAAACACCCTATGCATAGTTTGGATGTACCGTATTTCCCCATGTATAGGACACACCTTAATTTGGGGGCCCGAATTTTGAAAAAAAAAATTACATAAAGTTACTGAACTCAAGTTTTATTCATCATAAAATTCATACAACTCCTCATCACTGTCAAAACTCCCAACCATTAGCTTGTCCTCATCTGTGTCTGATGACGAATCACTGTCTTCATATATTGCCTCTCATGGCCTTCTGCTGTGGCGTTTTCAGTAGGGTTTCTTCTTCCCATTGCCAGTCTCAGATTGTTTTCTCAGTTGGAGGAGGACCAAACTTACGTTCAGCAGCACGATTTCCATTCACTTTTGCAAACTGGATCACTTTTAACTTGAATTCAGCACTGTACAAAAACCTTTTCTGAGCCATTTCTGGGCAGAACGTGGCAAAACATAACCTACCGTAATATACTGGTAACAAGTGCGAAACAATGAGCGCAAAGACAACAAGCACGAAAAAAGTGGGAAATGCAAGTAAAAAAATCTACAACCAAAATCTATAAGACACACCCAGTTTTTAGACCCCAAATTTTTCGAAAAAGGGTGTGTCTTATGCATGGGGAAATATGGTAATTAATAGGTAACCTTTATTAAACTTTTACTGTGTGCCAAACTTTAGGCTAAGTGCTTTACAGGGATTGTCTCCTGTAATCTAACCTTAGAGGTAGGTGTTATCCTCGTGTTACAGAGAAGAAAGCTGAAGTTCAATTAGAAAATAACTTACCCAAGGCTAGATCGTTACTATTAGAGCTGTGATCACATTCCATGGTGTCTCCAGTGCCTAGGAAGTCACAGAATCAGATGAGATTTTTTTCTAAAATAGCTGGCAGGAAAGCTCTCTTGAAGCTTTTCAAAAAAGTGTAACAGTTGATTTTCATAATCAAGAGTTGTTTTTTTTTTAAATTTAAATTCTTCATTTAATTAAAAATATTTCTTTTTTATATTCTTTAGAAACTAGTCTAGTTTATAAATGATTTATCCTTCCATTTTCTAGTCTGACATTCTCATTTAGTCTTTTTAATATAGTTACTTATTAAATTGGGTTTAAATATATTATACTCCTTTTTCTTGTGTTCACTTGAATTGATTTCTTTTTTTTTTTAGCTGAGCCATCCTGCCACTAGTTGGCAGCTCAGCAGGAGCTCAGCTTGGGCCATGAATCAAACCGGGGACCCTGTTGCTCAGAGCTCAAACTCTTGAGCGAGCTCTTAACCAACTGAGCCACTCGGCCAGCCACTTGAATTGATTTTTAAAGAATTATTCCCACCTCTATTATCTTAGTAATTATTTGTTCTTTAGTGTGTTCTTATGGTGGTTACTCTGGAGATTACAACATAATTCTTTCACTTATCAAAGTTTACATAAATTGTTAATCCTACCTCTCACTGACAATGCAGTGACATCAGAACACTTTAATTCCTTATCACTTAATTCTAATTTATATGCTGCTGTTGTATATTTTAATTTTAAGCTTCACAAGACACAATTTTCTATAGTCTTTATTCATTTAGCTTTAGCTACATATTTATCCTTTCTGTTGATCTAAGCTCCTTTTTGTCTCTGGGACCACTTTCCTTTTACCTGAAGAATACATTTGAATATTTCCTGTAGTGCAGTTCTTAGGGTGACACATTCTATTTTGTCTGGATAGCTTTTAAAGAATATTTTTTCTGGGTATAGAATTCTTAGTTTGGCAGTAGTTTTCTTTCTGCCCTTGAAAAATCTGACCTTCATTGTGAAGTTGACTATTAGTCTTATTGCAGCTCCTTTGAAATAATCTCTCACTCTTTCTCCCCTTCTTAAATCTGCTTGCTTTTAAGATATTTCTCACTGCTTTCATTTTCAGCAGTTTTACAATAACATGCCTAGTTTTGGTTTCTTTGTATTTATCCTGTTTGGGTTTCACAGTGTTCTTGAATCTGTAGCTTGAAGATTTTTCATCATGTTTCGAAAATTATCTGCCTTTATCTTTTAAAATATTACTGCCACCCCATTCTCCCTCTTTCTTACAATTACTTGTATTAGATCTTTGCAATATCACTTATGCCTTTTACACTCTTTTCTATATTTCCTATGCTTTTTTCTCACCTTGCTTCAGTTTTGATATCATGTTAAATGATTTTCCATTTTTCTAATTCTTTGCTCAATCTATCTTTTCTAATTCTTTGCTCAATCTAATTCTTTGCTCTAATTCTTTCCAATCTGCTATTAAACCCATCCACTGAGTTATTGATTTTAGTTATTGCATTTTTCAGTGCTGGCATTTTTGTCTTTTGGAAAAAAATGACTCCCAGTCCTCTGCTGGAAATATTAGTCTTATCTTAAAAATCTATATCAGATAACTTCATTCCCCATGGTTCTGTCAATATCCTCTTCATTTTCCTTGGTTTTCTTTTTCTTTTTTTTTTTTTTAAAGATTTTTATTGGGGAATTGGGGGGATGGGAACAGTGCTGGGGGATTGGGGAAGGGGAACAGACAAGTTGCTGTCGGTTTTTTTTGTTCTTCAATCTAGTTGTGTAGGACGTTGCTTCACTTGCCCAAGTTGGCACCATCACTGCGCTCTTCCAGGGCGAGGCAGATCAGTCGCCGGCTTCTGGACGGCCGCTGCTGGCCGCTCACGCTGGCTGCTGGCTACACACGGTAGCCCATGGCAACCCACTGCCACAGGGGCTGCAGCCTACGCCGTCGCCAGCGACTCACGGCAGCCCAGCTCCAGGTTGAGCTGTTGTTCAGCATCTTAGCTGTAGAGGGCAGTGTCACTGGCCCTCATATGTGGGATCCGAACCGGGGCCCTCTGGCATCCCAAGCGAGTTCTTAACCATCGCGCCACTCGGCCGGCCCTTCCTTGGTTTTCAAATGTGGTGTTCTGTCTCCTCATATAACTGGTTATTTTTGATTGAGTGCTAGATATTGTACATGAAAAATTACAGTGATAACAGAGACCTAGAATATATCTTCTTCCACAGAAGATTTGTGTGCTTCTGGCAGGCAGATAGGGACACTAACAATTTCAGGTCACTATTTTCTAGTCAAGGTTGAGATGTTTTGAAGCTGGGCTTTGGCCTCTGTAAAGGCTGGTCAATATTTGGCTCATCCTTATTCTTAGCATGTAGCCTTTCTGGGTCTTAACACAAAAAATAGAATTGCTTTCCAGGGCTTTTTCATTTTTGCATATTTAAGGTTATCCCTCAGCTTCATCAACTTGTTAAACTCATGCTAAGTTTTCTACCATCTTTCTCCTCTTTCACGATTGACAGATACCTTTGGAGAGAAAATAGTCCCAAATGTCAGGTTCATCTCTATTTTTTGGTTTCCTTTCTAATGCTTTGATAATTCTCTAGTGATTTTAGATAGTTCTTTTAAAAAAATTATTGTTTGTTTTTTTTTTTAGCTCAGCTTTTCCAGTTGTCCTAAGCATGAGGCTTTATCTAAACTACCCAATTCTCTATTGCCAGAAACAAATCTACCTTTAGAGTAAACCCTGATTTTTTTTAATTGAATCTTTTCTTCCTTATAAGAGTATTATGATAATTAAAGGAATTAATGTATATAAAGTGCTAGAACAGTGCACATAGAAAGCACCATGTGATTATTAGGTATTAGAATTTTCTTATAAGGACACAGGAAAAGTGGAAGATGCAAACATAGTACAGTGTCTGATAAGTCATATTTACGACTCATTTGGAAAATGGAAATGCTTGTTTTCACAGTGTAAAAGATAAATCTTGACTTTCTGTGGCTGTGGACACATGCCAAAAAAATAGAGTAGTGATTACCTATTTTAAAGATTAGCAGGGTTGGGAGGGTGGACAAGGACAGTATACTAATCTCCATGGTGTATGATTTTTATTTATCATTAACATTTTATTTTAAATGTCTTTATACCCATTATCCCATTCTAAATAAAAATTTTTATTTTTATTTAGAATGGGATAATGGATATAAAGAAAATTTTTATTTAGAATGGGATAATGGATATAAAGACATTTTAAAGATTAGACATGTCTAGAAAGAAAAGAAAATTTAGTTCCCTCTAGGACACCCCTCCCTCCTAGTTGTGACAAACAAAAGCATCTCCAGACATTGCCAGATATTTGGTGGTGGGTAAAATCCTGCTGGTTGAGAATCACTGTGCTGGTGTATCTAAATGTTCCAGCCTAGATAATCAAATCACTCACTACTCACCCATGCCCCTCACCCCTACCTGCCCACAATATGAACACGTACATAGTGAAGACACTCTATAAAAATCTAACTTTTAAACTTTTATATCTTCTTGATTGGCTCAGTGATAGTCTCCTAATCACATCTTTGCTTGCTCATCTTGACAAACACATGGCATTTAATGGTATATGAGTGGTTTTGTACGAGTTGGTCTTGGACTTCTCGTAGGATTCAAACAAGGATGAAGATATCAGGGATGGAGTGGTGGGAGAAGTATTTTGGTTTGAGGATTATGTTTGAAACACTAATTTGATCACGTAGTGTCCATACTATTCCTTGTTTTCTAAAGATCTGTTCAAAGTCTTGTTGTTCCTGTCCTCGAAAGAAAAGACACATCGATCTAAGGAAACCTCATCGACAGGAACTGTGTGGCCGCTGCAAAGACAAGAGATTCTCCTGTGGCAATATTTACAGCTTTAAATACATCATATGACGGACAGTATGACTTATACAGGACACCTAAACTCTTGTCACTTACTGTACTGTTCCTCTTTTGCACCTTAGCTCTGACCTGGTTTTGGAAAATGGATTAGGCTTTTGTACTTTTTGTAGGTTGTTTAACAGTTGTACAGTGTGAATAGAATAAAATAAATGCATGTTAAAAGACCATGAAGCCGCATTAATTGGTTACTCCAGAGTAAAAATATCAATATAGCATTGAGAAATGGTAGATACTGTCACTTATATGAAGGGACAATGAAGAGGAATCACATTCATTTGACAAACTTTTACAAGCTGGGTGTTCTAAGCACTTGGAACATAGAGACAATCAAGGGGCAAGATCCTTGTCTTCAAGTACACACAATAATGTGTTTAACACTTCAACAGCACTCAGTAAGTGCCCGGCATTGTTGTGGCTCATCACAGCAGCTGTAGGAAGTAGGAACTATGAAGGCCCTTCTTAGAGGAGGAAAAGGAGCCCCAGAGCTCACAGGGTACACTCAGGACTTGAACCCAGCTAGACCAGGGATTTGCTCCATGGCTTTCACTACCACATTTATATTTTCTCTCAGATTCATATGTGGTAAGTGCTATGAAGGAAACAGGGTGCTATGATAAGTGACCCTTTTAGGTAGGGTAGTTGGAAGGAGGCGACATGAGAATGGAGACCTGTAGGATGATGGAGCTGGGAGAAAAGGAATTGGTTGTGATTGAAGGGAACAGCAAGAGCAAAGGCTCGAGGGGACAGAGCATGTATGTGGCACGTCCCATGAGCAGGAGCCCCTGAGGCCAGTGTGGGTCATGGGCTGGAGAAGACAGGGGTCAGGTCTGCTGCGCTCCAGCACACTGCAGCCCATGAAAGTGTTTCAACAGGCAGTGACATCAGATTCTTACTTTGGCAAATTCACTGCTATGATGGAAGGCCAGGCAGAGGGGGAGGAGGCAGACCAGTTAGGAAGTTAATGAAGGCACGGACAGAATGATGGCTAGGTCAAGGGCAGTAGCCATGCAGATGGAGAGAAGTACATGGATTCAAGATAATGTTTGGGAATGTAACATACAGGATTGGAAGTGGATGATGGAGAAATAAGTGATGGTTTTAGATTTCTGCTTTGAGCTAGGGGGCAGATGGAGCTGAGAGGTATAACCGTTAGGAGTCAGATGACCCAACTTCAAATCATGGGTGCGGTACTTAGAGATGTAGGGTTGGGGCATGTTACTCCCTGTCTCAATTACTCCTCTGTAAAATGGGGATAACAATAGTACCTGTCTCTTGCTAGAGGTGTGAGGACTAAAGGAGCTGGTACATGTTAAGTATGTAGGCTATTACCTGTAACATTTTGAGGGCTCAGTAAACTTAGCTTCGTTATTTTGGTGGAGCTATGCAGTGACATGGGCTAGGGCATCTGTTTTCAACATATTAGGTTTGAAATATTTGAGACATCCAAATGGAGATGTCATGTAGGCTGAGTATATGAATCTGGAATATGGAGGGAAGTCAGAGCTGGAGAGAGACGTGGAGATAAAAAAATATGTAGTGTTTAAAGCTGTGGACCTGGATGGGATCACCTAGGAGAGTACAGCACAGGGATCTGGGGCGTTCCAACATTTAGAGCAATAATTCTGAAACTGTAAAGTTCCAGAAGTTATCCAGTGATCTTGTTACCTGGAGATTCTGATCTAGCAGGTTAAGGATTTGAGTCTGCAAATCTGACAAGCTCCCAGATCCTCCCAGTGCTGCTGGTCCCCTAGATCCCACTTCGAGTAGTGATAAGTAAGAGGTTTAGATAAAGGAGATGATCAAGAGGGATACGAAGAGCATGCTGTCATGAAAGGGAAGATGAAACAGTTTTGAGAAGAAGGGAATGGTCGATTGAGTCAAATCCTGTGGTGAGTGAGAAGGATAGAGATAGACATGTCCATTGGATTTGCTGTGACATAAAGTTGACTGGTGAGGGCTGGCCAAGTGGAACATTGGTTATGAGTTGGCTTGGGATGCCAGCTCTGAGCAGCAGGACCCCGGTTCGGATCCCACATATGAGGGCCAGTCATGCTGCGCCCTCTACAGCTAAGATGGTGAACAACAGCTCTACCTGGAGCTGGGCTGCCGTGAGTCGCCAGCGACGGTGTAGGCTGTAGTGGGGCTGGCCGGCAGTGGGCATGAGCTTTTGTGAGCTGCCATGAGCGGCCATCCAATGGCCGGCAAGCGACTGCCTCACCCGGGAAGAGCGTAATGATAATACCAACATGGGCCAGTGAAGTGACGTCCTCCACAACTAGACTGAAAAACAAAAGGACAGCAACTTGTCTGTTCCCCTTCCCAATTCCCCAAAGCTGTTCTCCTCCCCCAATTCCCCAATAAAATGAAAAAAAAAAGTTGACTGGTGATCTTGAAAAGAAAGCTTCAGTGGAATGGTAGGGATGGAAGCCAGAGTTAATAAAGTCAAGACAGGGAATAGAGATAATACTTTCTGGAAGTTTTGCTGTTAAACAGAGAGATGGGTGATAGTGAGAAGGGCATTTGGGGAAAAGGAAGGTACTAAGTGAGTTTGTACTCATATATTAGTGGGAATAATTCAGTAGAGAGAAGCTGATGATACAGCAAGGAGAGGACACACACACATGAACAAAGCCCTTGAAAAGGGAGAAGAGATGGGGTCCAGAGCACAGGTGGTGTGATCAGGCCTGAATGGGAGCAGTGATAGTCCCTTTAAGGTAAAAGGATGGAACACTTGGAACATGGAGCTAGTTAGATAAAGATAGGTTTATAGATTTGGGGGAGAAGATGAGACTGATTTGTTCTATTTATTCAATGAGTTATGAAGCAAAGTCATCAGCTGAGGCAGGTAGGAAGGGAAGGGGTGGGAGGCTGAGGAGAGAGAGCAAGGTGTGGAATAATTATTTCAGGTATTGGGATTTGAAATTATCAGGAAGATGTGATTGATAGCATTGAGAGCTCGTTTTGAGACTTGGTGCTGTTTGAGATCTGCTTGGTTGTAATTGTGTTCCTGTAATGTCACACGTAATTCTGGTGCAGGTGTGGAAGAGGTAAATCTCAGGTTTTAACTACCTGGGTAAGACAGGAGTGAGATATTAAAATCTATGGAGTTATTTATTTTGGGGTTAAAATTTTTTTTCTTAAATTTATTGGGGGGTAATATTGGCTAATCACAATATATAAATTTCAGGTGTACAACTTGATAACGTCTGTATACTCTATCATGTGGTCACCCTCAAAAATCTAGTCTACTTCCGTCACCATACTTAGACCCCCTTTACTCTCTTTGTCCTCCCACCACCCCCCTTCCACTCTGATAACTGCCATTCTGTTGTCTGTATCTATGAGTTTGTTTTTTTGTTTTGTTTGTTCCTTTGTTGCCTTTTGTTTTATATCCCACAAATGAGTGAAATTATATGCTTCAAGTCCCTTTCCATCTGACTTATGTTTTTAGCATAATACTCAAGATACATCCATGTTGTCGCAAATGGCAACATTTCATCTTTTGTGCGTATGTGTGAACTTAGTAGTATTCCATTGAATATATGTACCGCATCTTTATCCAGTCATCCATTGAAAGACACTTAGGTTGTTTCTATGTCATGGCTATTGTGAATGGTGCTGCAATGAACATAGGGGACATGAAAAAGTGTTTTCAAATTTTGAGGGTAGATACCCAGAAGAGGGATTGCTGAGTCATATGGTAATTCTATTTTTAATTTTTTTGAGGAATCTCCACATTGTTTTCCATAGTGGCTGCACCAATTTGCAATCCCACCAACAGTGCACGAGGATTCCCTTTCCTCTACATCCTTGCCAGCACTTGTTTGTTGATTTATTGATGACAGCCATTCTGAAAGGAGTGAGAAGTTATCTCATTGTAGTTTTTATTTGCATTTCTCTGATGATTAGTGACATTGAGCATCTTTTCGTATGTCTGTTAGCCATCTGTATGCCTTCTTTGGAGAAATGTCTGTTCAGGTCCTCTGCCCATCTTTTAATCAGATTGTCTTTTTGGTGTTAAGTTGTATGAGTTCCTTATATAATTTGGATATTAACCACTTATCCATGTATCATTGGCTAATATCTTCTCCCATTCAGTAGGTTGTCTTTTCATTTTGTCGATGGTTTCCTTTGCTGTGTAAAAACTTTTTATTTTGAAGAAGTCCTAATTGTTTATATTTTTTTATGTTTCCCTTGCCCGAGGAGATATATGAGAAAAAATATTACTAAGAGCAATGTCAGAGAGTTTACTACCTATGTTTTCTTTTAGGATTTTTATGTTTCAGGTCTTACATTTAAGACTTTAATCCATTTTGAGTTTTTCTTGTATCTGGAATAAGAAGGTGGTCTAGTTTCATTCTCTTGCATGTATCTGTCCAGTTTGCCCAACACCAAATTTTTTTTTTTTTAGATTTTACTGGGGAATTGGGGAAGGGGAACAGCCAAGTTGTTGTCCTTCAATCTTACTTGTGAAGGGCGAAGCTAGCTCAGCTCCAAGTTCAGTCGCTATCTGGCTGGCCTTTTGCAGCTTGTAGCTGCTCAGCTCAAGGTGCTGTGTTCAATCTTACTTGTGGGGGGGAGGTGGAGGTGCAGGGGCGCAGCCCACAATCCCATGCGGGAGTCGAACCAGCAACCTTGTTGTTAGAAGCATGTGCTCTCACCAGCTAAGCCATTATGCCACCTGTTGGCAGCTCAGCGGCAGCTCAGCTCGGGCGTAGCTCACTGGCCCATGTGGAAATCAAACCGGTGACGCTGTTGCTCAGAGCTTGTGCTCTTAACCAACTGAGCCACTTGGCTGGCCCCCAACACCATTTATTGAATAGATTGTCTTTACCCCATTGTATATTCTCGCCTCCTTTGTCATAGATTGATTGACTATATAGGCATGGGTTTGTTTTTGGGCTCCCTATTCTATTACATTGATCTAAGTGTTTGTTTTATTGGGTTGTTGGAAAAGTCATGATGCAATGAAAAAGTCATTTTTGCAATGA